AACAGGATATTTCTAGAAAGAGGTGGTGTGATACTAGTCACGTGACCTCGCTGACGCAACAATAGACTAGCTGCCTTCCCTCTAGTCTTATACTGCTAAATTAGGGACCGCTAGCGCAGATAGCCCTCGTGTAGGTTTGCGCGAAATTAAAAAAAAACATCAACTCTGGGGCTACTCTTTTACAAACGGATAGTGGGATTGACCATCACATTATAACGCCCCAGGCTGAAAGGGTGAGCATGTTTGGTGACGGGGATTCGAACCTGCTTGCGAGTCGAGCACTCTAACCACCAGACCATACCAACACCTATCTATAAAACTCAAATTGAACTATTAAATTGCATAGAAAATATCTTAACTTTTTTATTTGACAAAACCCAAAAATAGTTATACAACTTCGTCTTATTAAACAATAATGATAATTAACAAAAATGTACACATTCGACCATTAAACGAGCAAAAGTCAAGAAAAGTTAAAATCCGTATGAATGCCACTTAGGAGCTAATGCTATTAATGCATTTTGCCTGGCATGGTCTGGTGATCAGGGTACTCGACTTGTAACCTGCCGTAGGGGTATTGTAATGTTATGGTGTGTGTTTTCTTATAGCAAAGCCACATCGAGCTATCTGCTGTGTCCACCGAGGGGAATCGAACCCCTGATTTTAGCGTTGTAAATCTGAAGACTTATTACTGTTCCACCGGGGGACAATGTTAAGCTCAACCCCACTACTATTCGTTGGTAAAGAGTATCCTAAGACTTTGTGGTGGGAGTTAATTAGCTTGCCTTCACCCTAGTTCATCATTTCAAAATTATGGACGGCGTCCTTGAGTAGTTTTGCGGGAAACTCAACAAATATAAATACTGATGCATTTGTTCCTGCAGTGAAATCACTAGAAATGTTTTATCATAATACTTAAATTGTTCTAAGTTTTCAATATTTACAAATTTATAATAGCTGAAAGTGTTCAAGAACCCGTCTTTCCCTCTTTTTTTTAATACAATAGTCTTAACTGAGCTCTTGAAAACATGTGTGAGCTGTGTTTTCTTGAAAGCGTAAAATTTGCTTCCTTTATAGGCTTTTATCTATTTGTTTAACTCTTTGGATTTTGAACTAAACATGCCAACTCTCTAAACCTTATAATCGCTCTCTCTATATATATGTATATGTGTGTGTATAAATATATATATATATATATACCATTTTAGAGATCTTCCTAAAGCAGATTTAATTTAGTCTAATAGTCTGTATTATGGTTATAGTGTTTATTTTTAATGTTGTATTTGAAGATTTCAAACACCTGTTAACGATTCTTAAGTCAATAGATGGCACGGTGGTAGATCCGATATTGTTTATTGGTTTACCTACGACTTTTCGTATGGACACGTCAGTAGACTTTTAACCTATTTTGTACATGTGAGTAACAATAACATTCAGAAATTGTTTTTATATTTATTGTTGTAGTTTTTCTGTGAGACAGATCATCCGATGTGTTATATATATATATATGCCTATAAATATATATAAGTATAATATTACTATTAGTAACACTAACAGTTGCTGTATTTTACTGGCCGATTTGCGTCGTTAGACTAACGAAGTCTCATAAAAATTATAGTTAACAAAATTGCAACTTTACATTGTATCATCTGACTTCTAAAATCTGAGGCTATTTTATTGACCGATTTGCCTCGTTAGATTAACGAAGTCTCATAAAAATTATAATTAACAAAATTGCAACTTTACATTGTATCATCTGACTTCTAAAATCCAAGGCTAGCCTAGTCCTACTCACTGAGTTGGTTTTAAAATACATTGTCACAATAATTTGTTGTGTTAATCAATGTTGTGAATATGATATATGCTTATGCCATAGTTATAACGATATATCACAAATTAGATAGCGACAGTGAGACTGTGAGTTCTTACCACTGTTTGTTATTATTATTCTTAATTACCACTTGATAAGAAAATCTGTCTTAACACTGGTTTGAAAACGACAGTGATTACAATTTACTATTGCCAGTTGACAGCAAACTGCAACAGCTGCAGTAAGCCTATATAAAGTATAAGTTTAATATGCAATCGAACTGGACAAAGTTTTTGAATTTTCAGTTTCAATGAGAAATAATGGAAACATAATTATTCAAATGATATCTTAACCAATTATATAGCTATAGACATACTGTAGTCACCAGTGTTTTAAGCATTGCTATATGGGTAAATTCAAATATGAACCGATAATGATGTAAGATGAAAGGAAAGGTGTAAATTTATAAGTTTCTGTCCTTTATAATAAGGTGTTTGATTTTTATGCCAAGACACTTTTTTTACATAAACATAATATGAATGGCAATAAGTTACATCAGTGATTTAGAATTATGTTAAGTTGAAAGAATACTAAATAACTTCTGTTTTGATAAGTATAATATTATGAAAAATCATAACAAACTCGGTGTTTGAATAATGAGTGAATGGAAAATTTAATTCTACATTTAAGATACATAGAATCTTACTTGTGATGCATTTAAAAAGTTAATTTTCTTCTCCGAAGCAATAAACTCATTAATGTAAATTATAAAACTTATGAGAATAAAATTAGAAGCTTACATTATGTATTGTTAATAACTTCTGCCCACAGCAAGCTACCTGCATAGGTTGGAACTAAAATTAACCCAGTAATGAATATGGCTAATTTAATATATGATTCTTACTAGGAATATACAAAGTCATCAAACAAAAACTTGTAATGGTTTGAATGCATTCAGTTATCAGTTTGGTATCCTCACTGAAAATTATAGACCAGTTAGTCTTATCTCTAAAGTGGGAAAAATCCTAGAATTTGCATAAAAGAAGCTGTACAGAATCACTTAGTGAAACATGATATTATGGATTCACCAAAGAGAAATCTTGCTTTACTACTCTGGTAATTTTTTGAGGGTGTTACTTCTTATATGGATGATAGAAAGGGTGTGGATCTTTGATATAGTGTCACACAGTATTAGGCAAGAACATCACACTGGTAGGGGTTGGAGAAAGAATACATAATTGTTTTGTTATGTGGTTTGATGGGAGAAAGCAAAAGGAATTGAGTGAAGCTGGACCCTTGTTACTAGTGGAGTGCCTCAGGGTAGTGCTTGGGCCTCTGTTCTTTCTTACTTACATTAATGATAGGGGTATAATCAGTAAATTAGTAAAGTTTGTTGATGACATTAAACTCTTAGGTATTTCTAGCTGTATTGAGGATGTTGAGGTACTATAGAAGTACTTGAGTCAATAGGTAAGCTGTACAAATATTGGACAAGTTAACTTTAATTGCATTAAAAATGCCAGATAATGTATTTAGGATATAATAATTTGGATCATATGTTTAATATAGATGAAAACCTAGTCAGTAGCCTGACTGAAGAAAGGGATTTTGGCATAGTGGTGGATAAGCAATGAAAGCTATTGAAACTGTGTTCTATTGCTGGTAGTAAAGCTAATTGAATTATAGCATTTACGTAAATACTGATTATAAGTCAAAAGAGGTAATTATGTCTATAAAATCACTTTTAGGCCTCACTTGGAATATTATGTACTGACTTTTGGTCCTTTTTTTTAATCTAAGAAATGATATTGACTTAATAAAAAGGGTTCAGTAGAGGGCTGCTAGAATAATTCCAGAGATGGATGGGCTGTCTTAGAGAGAGAGATTAATTAAGAGCTCTTTAACTTAAATTATCTTGAAGAAGGGTAAGAGGTGATATATTATTGAAGTTTACAAGATTATTCAGAGAATTGATAGGTTAAAGGTCTCTCATTTTCTTTTGCTACAACCTGAAGATAATATTTTGAGAGAACATAAATTTAATAATTGGAAAAAACAAGCTAGGCTTCTATTAAGACAGTTTTTATTTTTCTAACAACATAGTTGACATATGGAATGAAGTACCATCAGTAGTAGTTAGGGCCAACTGTTAATAGGAGTTTCCTAAACAATGAAGGGTGGTTTAATTTTATTTACTTTTCTCAATGGTGGGTGTGCAAGGAAGCCTTGAAGGGTGAAATGGTCCTTTGTTGTCAGTATGTTAACTTAAAGAACAACCCCAAAACTAAGCTTCTCTTCATACTTTAAGCGATAAAGACATTAAGAAAAAAAAAAGTGTCAGAAGGCCATTTGGCCTGCAGGGCTGCTCCTCACCCAAAAATATGTAATATAGCAACTGAATACTAATATTGCAAAAACTTTCATTCAATTTAAGTTAAAAAAAAACAACAAATAATTTAGACTTTCACATCTCAGGTTTTAAAATATTTCAAATTAACAACACAAATCAATCTTAGACAAACCATTACATAAGTTTATAGCTAAACAAAAATATTTTGTCTAAGAACGAGACTGCAACTTATCTTCCAAAGCTTAAACCTATTACTCCTAATGTTTAAGTTTTTATTTTCAATAGTTTTATTCTACTGCATAGTTGACTCAGAGGAAGACTGTTGAACCTCCTAACAACTTGAACATCTAAATCCAGTCTCCCCTAAATCCAAAACTCTTAAGTCATTTCTAATACATGTAGTTTAAATTAATTAAACAGGAATCAGTCTGTTAACCTGTTATTGCACTCTTTCTAACAGGAAATAGGTGAAGTTATGGCAAAGGATACTTCATGGGAGGGTAAGAATGCATGTTTTTGGTTTACAAGGGTATACTGTAGTTTAAAAAAATTTAGATTGTAGAGCCAAGTTGAGTTAGTATGTTTTATGTACCAGTTTTTAAGCTTTGGCTCCTTGCAGTGAGGATTGTGTTAAGAGGTTTACACAGATGGGGGTGGCTCTTTCTCATTAATTATACTGGTAAAAGTATTTGTGTTGGGAAGCTTAAAAAGTCTACAACTCCAATTTGCTTGCAAGGTGATAAAGTAATGAACATTATAGAGCATGTTAACAATTTGCTGGTAGCATTTTTTTTGTAGTACATGTAGGAGCAAATGATGTTGGAATTGTAAAACAGAAGAACTGTTTAAGTAGTGTAAAGAATTTGTTCAGAGGTCTGTTGATACAAATACATGTGTGGTCTTTTTTGTAATCCTCCCTCAGGCTAGATGCAGAAAGGAACTACTTAGGAAGGTATACTGCTTAAATGAAAAAGTATTTGGGATATTTTCAAAGCAATAGGTGTTATGGTTGGGCCTGTGGGATAGTTTTCAGGATAAGGATGAATTGTATGATAGAGATGGGCTATACTTAAAAATAAAGTATGGTAGGCAGTAGGATGTTTGGAAAACTCTAACGAATATCTTCAAGGATAGTTTGAACTAATTTTCATTATAGTGAGGGAATTTTAAAATAAACAGATTGATAGATTAATCAGAGCAAAAAGGAGATTAGAGAAAGATTTATAGCATAAGTTAAGTAACAGTTTGAAAAATAAGTTTCTGATTTAAAAATAGACACGGCACTTCAGAAATGCTACTCACCTCTCTGCACAACAAAGTGCTGTTACCTTGCACATACTTGCAGTGTAAAGTCCTTCACATACCACAAGCCTTGAAAAAAGCTTCTACTCGTACACATGTCAGTGTGTATTATGCTAGCATATGATGCAAGATCATCATTAGCCAATAGTCCTTCACCTATAGGAGGGCAGGACATCCTTCATATGCAGCAATCTGAATGAGCATTAGCATTTGAGAATAGGCTCATTCTTGATGACATAAGCTAAATTCATTGGTGGAGGACTTTATCTATTGAAAATTACATCATAGGCTGGTGCAGTACATGTTGGCACATGTATGGGTGGGAGTTGGTATTATTTTTATTGGTGTAGAGGATAGATTATTTCAATGGATTAAGGGTTGGTTAGAGAAGAGGAGGCAAATGGTTGTAATTGATGGAGCTCAATTAAATTAGATTCAAGTTGCAAGTGGAGTACCTTAGGGCACTGAGTTGGAACACTTTGCCCTTTTGTTGTACATTAGCAATATTGGTAAGGGAATGGTCAACGAATTGGTCAGTTTTGCTAATGATATTAATGGTGTAACTCTAATTGACTGTGAGGAGGATGGTATTGCTTTATAAAGAGGTTTGGATCTTTTTGCAATTTGAGCAACTGAGTTATAGATAGCAGTTAATTATGCTAAGTGCAGGGTAATGTATGAGAGCTACCTTAATTTAAACAACAATTACCATCTTGATGAGGATCAACTCAATTATGTTATGGAAGAAAAGGATTGTGATGTTTTGGCTAATTAGTCTCTTAAGTATCCTAGTCAGTATACTGTTATCAGTGGGAAAGCAAATTGGGTTTTGGATTGTATCTACTGGAATATTTAATGCAAGTTGAAGGAGGTTATTGTTCCTTAGTGCAGTTTCCTGGTTAGGACCTCAAACAGATTATTGTATTTAGTCCTTGACTCCTTGTTTTAAGAAAGACATTGAGATTTTGGAAAGTGTTAAAAGGAAAGCTGCACTACTAGGATGATTCCTGGGATAGAGGGGGTTGTTGTATGATGAAAGGTTAAAGTCATTATGATTATTTCTTTTGAGAAAACAAGGATTATAGGAGACCTGATTGAACTGTACACAGTTATGTAGGAAATATATTTGGAGGATAGAAGCTGTCTGTAAATTTGACAATTTTAGTTTTCAAAGAGAGTGGTCAGTCATTTGGAATATTAGGCATTCGGACGTGGCAAACATCAAGATTTGGATATGTTATATTATTCAAAAATATTTTATTTTCAATAAAAATAATATTTAAGTAATAAATTTTGTCAATTTATTGCTGGTGTATAACTATGTGTTTCATAACAAATGGCTAAGTTCAAAATTGAGAAGGTTCTTTTATATTTTTCTTGTATTTAGCTGCTACATTTAAGTCATGTTTTGCTGTCTAATTAATAAAAAAATATTCAATTTTTTAAGTCTAATCTTGCACTCTGCTATCTAAGTAGCAACCTTAGGCTTAAAACATAATATATATTGTTTTTTTGTCAAATACTTTTTTAAACAGTACTATTTACATTTTAAGTAAAGCTGAACATTTAAACTAATGATACAGAAAAGCATAATAATCACAACCATTTGTATTTCATTGGCATAGATCATACATTGTAGTAAGACAAACATCTTGACCCATTTATCAAAAACCTCTCATCTTTATGATATGTAGTATCACAAATTTTTCCATTGTGATTTTTTTTATTGTAATTGCATAATTTATACATCATTTTAAACTCTCATTAAATTTGCCTGTGATAAAATATTCTTTGAAAAAAATGTGTTTAAACAAACCTTGAACAGCAATTTGTGAGCTTAAAATCTTGAATTTGAAATTCCATTTATGTCAGGATCTGTGCAAAATTGTAAAAGATAATACCAAAAGAACTTCTGTTGTGATGTATGAGAAAAATACAATGCTGCCTTAATAAACTTAAGCTTGCATGAAGTTTATATTTGGCTTTCTTTCATAATATTTTAATGCATTTTCATGGTGCATCCTTTTGGAAGTTCTTTAATCAGGTGAATATTACAGACTAGCATTGTGACTGAACAAATGTCCAAATAATTAATTATATTTATATTGTTTTCTTTTATTTGATTAAAACAGTACTAATTTTTGCTATAATTAAGTTATATATTCCAATCTGCACTTGGAGTTTTAATAATGTCAACAAAACGTCTTAGTAACAATTATCAGAACTTTTTTATGTATTTAATATTCAGATACTATGATAGTTAACTTCTTTTATTTTTATACACATATATCTAGTATAGTTCTACTGCAAAAGAAAAAGAAGTCATTCAGTTACACCATGCAAGGACAGTATAATATGAGAAGTCCAGGTGAGTTGTACTTATTTCCCATGTATGTGTTAGTAGAAACAGTACAACATAAGTCCAGGTGAGTTGTGCTTGGTTCCCATGTACTTGTTAATGAAGAAAGTGTAATGTGAAAAGTCCAGGTGAGTTGTTGTACTTCATTCCCATTTATCATTCCCATTTACTTCTTATTGAGAACAGTATAACATGCAAAATCCAGGTGAATTGTACTTGTTTTCCCATGTAGGTGTTCGTGTGAACAGTATAACATAAGTTCAGGTGTGTTGTTGAACGTGATTCCCATGTATCGGGAACCATGATGTGGTTTATAATAGGAATTGTACAGGAATTTGTTCAAAACTAATAGAACTTTTGGGTAAAAACCACCTTAAAAGTAGACTTATTCTTGAAACAAACCTCAAAACCTTTTTTTTTTCAGTAGTTAAGCCCATCCAAACATAGGTAATAAGCAAAATAAGTGATTTCACGATTGTTGAACAAAATCAAAATTTGCTAATGTCTTCATATTATTATTATTATGCACAAGCCTATCGGAAAAATCGGCTGAGTATTTTGCACCATAACCTAGACAGATATGATATACTATATAGAGTGCTGTGCATGTTCATGACCTACTTAAATGTTGATTATGTTTCATTGAAAGTTGATTTATGTGGTTATATATACATAATAGATCCGACGTTGTTCTGATCAACTGTTTTTGCGCTCAGTGTGTGTTAAGTGTGTGTTTCAAACGAAACCTCAGGCACAAAGCCACCTGGCTCAGTAAATAATTTCTTTAAAAGACATAAAGCGTTATTTAAAGCAATGTTTTAGATGTATTTGGTTTATTTGAAAAGGCTGCGTTTCTACTGGTAAAAGTTTGTATGAGATTAGTGGGGGTTGAGTCATACTGTAGGCATATATTTGCCCATTGCTATGCATTAAAAAGCCAACATTCAAGATAATTATATATTTAGAATTTAAAATCTACAAATTGGGATCACAAAAAAGTAAGCAAACTAACCTGGAGATCTACTGCTGACAGTTTGCTTGAGCAACAAATCCTTATTATGACTCCACTATAAAGTTATTGAAGGTGATATCTACTTAGTGTGAGATCACAGGAATTTTGCAAAAAAACTAAGAGTGTAGTTTCAAACTTAATTTACTTCCTTAATTTTGTCATGCTGCAAAATTTTCTAGGTTCTTTACTTTCCACCATTGGAAAATCTGGTGTTTTCCTAGTTTACATGTTAGTTGGAAACTACAACTCGTGCTTTTTCTAGTGCATATCATTACTCAAGTTTGCTATCTCTATGTGGATATATTTCATCAAGTATTTGACACTGGATGATTACCATAGTAGATTTTCCTACTCAGAGGATCAAAGTGATTCTGTCTACTGTTTCTTATACTTAGCTGAAATCGTGAGTGCGTATTCAGTATTTATTACCACTGCACATAGCACTATTTCGTATAGCTATTGCTATTTTTAGATAGTTGGTGTTAAGGTAGCTGTTGTAAATGTTGTTGATAATTGGCAACTTACGCTAAGTATGTTGCTGTAATCTATTTTGCATGCATTATTGCGTTGCCTATTTCTAGTGAACATTGGTGTAGAGCAGGTTGCCGAAGAACATACACATGTGTCATGTAGACCTAACAAGATAATCATGTTACTGAGTCTGTTTACATTGCATTAATCTGTGTTGTGTTATCTTAGAATAAACATTCCATTCTGATGAGATTGCTTTATTGCTGGTCATCTTTTATTACATTAAACTGTAACATTGATAGAAGTCGGTCATTAAATCTGAGATGCTTCAACTTCACATTTTGTTTGTTGTAGTTGCATACCAGTATATGTGGTTATTATTTGTTGTACATTTGTTATTTATTTTGAATAAGTTCAGTGTGGTGGTTGGGTGGAAAAAAAGCCAATGCAGCAGTAAACTGTTGAAAAACATGTAACATTCAATTGAATGCATATGCATGTATGTAGCTTAAAAAGGTTATTCTCCATAAATGGATATAAAAAAAACTTAAAAAACAAGATAAGTAAAAATTGTTAATTTAAGAAGGGGAAATAAGAATCATTGGAAAAGTACAGAAACAAGTTGAATCAAAATGCAAAGATTATATTTTCAAGCCTACAACTAGGGAGTCTTGAAAAACAAAGTAAATAGTATCTACATTATTTTCTCAAGCTACAAATCCCTATTTTGACTCCATTAAAACTGATATGTACTATAGACATGGAGTCAAAATAGGGATTTGTAGCTTGAGAAAATAATGTAGATACTATTTCCTGCCTTGTTTGTTTACTTTTTTTAGAGACCCTAGTTGTTGGCTTGAAAATATAATCTTTGCATTTTGATTCAACTTGTTTCTGTACTTTTCCAATGATTCTTATTTCCCCTTCTTAAATTAACAATTTTTACTTATCTTGTTTTTTAAGTTTTTTTTATATCCATTTATGGAGAATAACCTTTTTAAG